GGTTCCTCAAACTTAGTGGAATGCAACTCATAGATTTTATGCTCATGGACTGAATGGGTCAGCACCTCAGAAGAGCACATTGGGATGGCTTGTCCGTCACATGGTGCTTGGGGCCTCAGCTGGGATACCTCAGTGGGATGGGTTGAGTCAAAGTCTGGTGTTGAAACAGCTGGATTGGAGGATCTACTGCCAAAAGGAGGGACTTGAAAGTTAGGGGGTAAATATGGTATGGCCTTTATCTCAAAAATAAGGAGTCCATTGAGACTGAGGGTATGAGGCAGGAAGCTTGAAGAGGGGTGGATTTTCAAAATAACTTCTAAGAGGAGAGAGATTGGTAATCACCTAAGCCAAGGCATTTCTGGGTAATATTTAAGGCTCAATGAAGGTTCTGAATTTGTGGTTGCAAAAATCTGCACAGTGGAGTTTTTACCTACATGCTGTGCTAGTGGAGAGTGGCAGCTAAACAATCTTGTAAGATCAGATGGGTCCTATTATACCATTGACCACCCTTAGATATTTGTACTCTTTCTAGATGTGTTTGTATCTGGGGAAAGGAAGCAATAACGAGACCTTAAAAAAGGAATGAAATGAGGATACTTTAGCAAAATGATGCCCCAGAACATTTTATACCACTTTTACATGCACCTGCTTGTGCTATTTAAGTATACAAAAAAAAAAAAAAACTTTCTCATTTTTATTTGTTTATTTATTTAGAGATGGAGTATCACTCTGTCACCCAGGCTGGAATTCAGTGGTGCAATCTCAGCTCACTGCAGCCTCTGCCTCCTGGGTTCCAGTGATCCCCTGCCTCAGCCTCCCAAGTAGCTGGATTTACAGGCACCTGCCACCATGTCCAGCTAATTTTTATATTTTTAGTAGAGATGGGGTTTCACCATGTTGGCCAGGCTGGTCTCAAACACCTGACCTCAGGTGATCTGTTCGCCTCGGCCTCCCAACCTGCTGGGATTGCAAGCGTAAGCCACCATACACTGCCTTTCTCCTTTCTTTGGAAAAAATTACACCTTCATGGCTTTACTTCATAGGCCGGGTCTGATCTATTTATACTGGTCATCTGAAGCATTGTGCTGTGAAAAAGTCTAATACCAAGCTTGAGGTTTTGGGGAGTGGGAGTCAGGGGCAAGATGAACAGTTAGCGATGTTTGTCATAGATAATGAGAGCTGTGGTGGTGGTATTCTTACTTGATCTTTTTACCAGCTATTCCTACCTTGTCTCTTCAAAAGAAGATATGAAGGGTATAGTAATAATAAGTATTGAAAACAATAGTAACAGTGGCAAAGCTCCTTTCATTATATCATGTAGTAAAAACATAATGTTACAGTTTTATAATATAACATTACACTTTTTTTAAATGCCTAAAGGGGATCTGACAGTATGAGGCATGCAGAAAAATATTTGGCTGATTACTAAATTTTAAGATCCTACTTGTCTAGAGCCTTAAAGTGTCAGAGTTTTTAAAAATGCCCCGAAATATGTAGCCCATGTGACAAAATGAGAAGTTTACTGAAAGGCATGTGCATTTCAAATCAAGATCAAGAGAAAATCCATAAATAGTGTTGCATGTTTTCTACACAAGGGAGATCATTGAATTTCTGTGAACTTGTATACTAACATTGTTAACTAAATTTATAATTACTTTTTTCTGTTAGTTAATGCTCTTCAAAAGTCAGATGAATAAAATGATTGTACTGACTATTTGATTGTGCGGATCAAGTCAAAACTCTTTACCTACTATACTTCATTGGCTTTAAGAGGTAAGCTTAAAAAGCATTTTTATACTTTAATATTCAATTGTAATTGATGGTAGGCCATTGCTTTACTAAAAGTTTTTTTTTGGGGGGGGGGTGGTGCATAAAATAACATTGTACCTTAAGTTCTTGGGCATCAAAGATCCAAAGAAATTCAGCAAGTGAGTCACAGTAAGAAGGAAAATGTTGACATAATCAATTCATAGAATATGAACTGATTCACTAACATGCTTCATCATAGTTCTATCCCCCTTATCTATGTCATCTACATTTTAGTTTTCATGTGTAGTGTTAATGCCTATTAAGATTCTTCTGAATGACAATTCATGATAATTTACCTGTATCAAGGCCTGGTAGCATTTCAGGAACTTTAACCCTTGTAGCAGAAATTCCTCAGAAGACCGGTAACGTAATTAGTATGTTTCACTTTCAATAGCAAGCATATTGTCACACTTTTATTTAAATAGCTATTGAATCATGAAATTTAAAGGCTAAGCCAGGCCATAAAGTTGTTCCATTGTTTAGAATATAAAACTTAGATTTACAGAGATTTAATGAGTATATCCTATTCCTCAGTTTAAACAACAGAGCAAGACTCTTGTCCAAGAGATTGTGAGAATAGGTCATTAATATAATTCTCCTCAGTATATAGTTCAGGCTTTTATGAAACTACAGAAGGAAATATACAGAATTAAAGAAAAAAAAACCCTAGCAAAGATGAAGTTTTATCTAATTTGAATCCCAAATAGGAAAGTATGCAGCTGATTATTCAATTAAGAGTAGAAAAATACATAATCTTAAAATTGGAATGAGGAAACTCTTTAATGCATATTTTCGAAGAAATTCAAACTACTTTGCATATTTCAAATCTTCCATAAGATCACATTATTGGAGGATGCTATGTGGTGTTTCGTTATTGGACTATGCGTAATTTATCAATTTTTTACATTGGAAAGAATACTAGTATATAATATTCCTAAAGAATTATATAATTTTGTTATTGAGCCTTTTCTTTCCTTCCTTTCTTCCTTTCTTTCTTCCTTTCTTTCTTTCTTTCTTTCTTTCTTTCTTTCTTTCTTTCTTTCTTTCTTTCTTTCTTTCTTTCTTCCTTCCTTCCTTCCTTCCTTCCTTCCTCCCTCCCTCCCTCCTTTCTTTCTTTTTGACAGAGTCTTGCTCTGTCATCCAGGCTGCAATGCAATGGCTTGATCTCGGCTCACTGCAACTTCCAGCTCCCAAGTTCAAGCGACTTTCCTGCCTCAGTTTCCTGAGTAGCTAGGATCGCAGGTGCACACCACCACACCCGGCTAATTTTTGCATTTTTAGTGGAGATGGGGTTTCATCATGTCGGCCAGGCTGGTCTTGAACTGCTGACCTCATGATCCACCTGCCTTGGCCTCCCAAAATGCTGGTATTACAGGGATGAGCCACTGCCCCCAGCCACTGTTGAGCATTTCAGAACTTCTGTTTGTACCATAAATTTGTCATAGAAAAGAGTCTGTGAGAGTAATGATCTTTCAAATATTAGTATTTGACATTAATAACTCAAGAATGCAGTTTTGCAGATTTGCCTTAGGGAGAACTCATAAAAATTGAGTTAATAAAATGACAAAATACAATGGCTGTAATAGTTTAGACCTCTTGCAAACATTCCTTCATTAACATTCTTGGGAAATAGAGAAAGCATAGTATCTGAGTCCAAATTATATTCTCAAGTCCAAAGGATTTGCTGACATAATATGTTTCTACATAAAAATATATTCTTAGTAGAGAATTAAATTACTTCATTTGTAATTCTTACAGCAGCCTAAAGATAGCAAATTTGATGATCAAAATCATGGGGAAAACTTCCTAAGAATAGAATGTGACTTAAGGGAACAGAGTAGACAGAGGATGCATAGAAACCTGAATTAGTATTAGTTATTGTTCCTTGAAGGAACTGAAATTTCTAAATTGTGCCTTTTTCATCCTTGGTAAAAAAAAAAAAAAAAAAAAAGTGTCTATGTATATATGTGCGTGTGTGTGTGTGTGTGTGTGTGTATAAATCAATCTGTTATGTTGTTGTCATTTTGCTCTTCTTAACCATTAGAGATTTTTATATGTATGCTTATATCTGTTATACAGTAATACTACAATCATCACATAATCATGACATTTTAATTTTTGGTTATAATCCTTTCCAACTATATAAAAGTATGTCTCGTGACACATATTTTCGAAAGCTTTCTTGGAAAAACATACAGAGGTTGTGTTTATCACTATCTATATAAATAAGTGAGCTTATATTGAACTTTATGATTATTCAGCATAACAATCAAAAAAAGAAAACTTTTTTTAACAGTATAAAGTTTCAGGTGAGTCCATATGTTTTAGAATTTTATTTTTATTTTAATGAGAAGAAAGATTGCCGTTAGAATTGTTTTGTAATGAAACCTTTATGAATTATCTGGGCAATGCTCTGTATCTTTATTAGAAAGACTTCTTATTCAACGCTTTTATCTGAAAGAAGTTCTACTTATCTGCATCAGTCCATCGTCTACATCATTTGTTTGTGTGTGTGTGTGTGTGTGTGTGTGTGTGTGTGTACAACTTTGTCTTTTGAAACTAGAATAGAATCAGGTAAAACCTCTAAGACCCTTGTGTCAGTAATCGGCCTGAATCATCGGGCACCATGATGGAGTTGGCCGCCTTCAACGTACTCTGTGTACATTCTATTTTTTCTTCATAATGTTCAGTACTGTAGTAGATTAATCACCAAGGAAACTGCATTGACTCTTTTCGACCACCAGGGAAATATTCGGTTCATGGCTCTCCTCTAAAAAAAAAAAAAAAAAAAAAAACTAAAAAAGCAGCTAGGCGCTGGGAACAATCCGACTCGATGTATTTTCTCAGTGGGCCAAAGAAAGGAGGGCCAAAAGGCCGGACTGCCTCATCTGAGATTGACTGCTTTGACTTTTTAAAAGTATTTTCTTTGTTCACTTACACATTGAGGAAAGCAAATTCTCGGCACTGGCATGAGAGTTATTTGAGCGTCACAAACGAAACAAAAAAAAAAAACGTATTAGTGCCATTACTGTGGCGAATTTCTTGTTTTCTATTCCCGGCAATAGCGAGCCCTTGGATTCCTGGTTTGGGCTGGCGCCGGAGCTCTCCAGCCGGTCTGACTTCGGCCACAAGATGGCACTGACCTGCCAGCAAAGAAAAGCCCAGTGAGACCGACTTTTTCAAGCCTTGGGAAACTGCCCTGCCTTCCCCGGAGTCAGGGACCGTGGGGACTCGCGCTCCCTTTCCCCGGCGCGGGGCTTCTGTGTCGCACAATGCGTGGCTCCCGTCGGGTTGCTGTTCTTTCCAGAATTCCCAGGCAACGCTGCCCCGAGGTGTCACCTTTGTGAGGTGTTTGTGGGGCGGGGGGAGCGCCGTCACGTGATCCCGGGTTGAGGTGGAGTTCGGCTTTAAGGGGGCGTCTCTTCTCAGCTTCATCAATCTTTAGGATCTGAGCAGGAGAAATATCAGCAGATCCTTCCCCTCTCTGCTCCGTTCCATTCCCATCCTTCCCTCTTTAATAAGCAAGAGCGAAAAAGACGAATTCCAAAGAGGGTAAGTTGTGACTTTATTCCTTTCCAGAGACTTTTGCGAAATCTCTCATTGAAGGATGAGAGGGGAAGAAAGCCGATGCGAGTGTCCGACACCGGCTCTGGGGGACCGAGGTGGGGTCTCCCGCGCTGGCAGGTCGCAGGTCGCTCCCATCGCGGACCGCTCGCGGGCTCCTGCCCAAGGAGGGGCCGACGCGGGGGAATCGAGAGGGTGCGCGACGCGGGGTCCGCGACGCGGGGTCCGCGACGCGGGGTCCGGCTTTCCCACCGCCTGCTCCCGGGGAATTTCTGGATGGGGACCCAAGTTTCCTCTACCCAGGTTCTCTTTAAAAGGCCGACGGGCTGGAAAGGTGCGCGAGTTCGTCTATCCCGCGCCCGCTCATCTTCCGCCTGTGTCTGGAGCTGGCGGGAGGCGCCGGCTCTGGCCGCACCGGAGTTTTCGCGGAGTAACCGGCTGGGACGAGCCGGAGAAGGGTGGGCTAGGCGCGTCGCCCGCGATCACCCGGGTCCCGCGGCAGGTGTCGGGCTGGGAGCGGGCGGAGGTGCGAGGAGCCCGGCGCGGACCCCGGCGCGCACGCCCGTCCCCACCTGCGGGTTCCGCGCTCCCCAGTGCTGGCCGCTTCCAGTGTGACGCTGAGCCCTGTAGACCTCCGAAGCTTTTAACCATCGGAGTTCTAATCATGGAACTCCTTAGCTCTTTCTTTTAGAAAAGTTGGAGCATGGCTGGATTAGGAGATTGGGAATGCACGGAGGTGGAGATGGCTTGACAGGATGTCCCGTTGGTTCCCTGGTAGACTTGAGAGATGCGAATGTTTTAAGGTCTGAGGTTGGGCCAAAGAGAGAGAATTGACTTTGGGTTTGGGATCTGCTCGTTTTTGGTTGGTTGTATCTTTTCTGTTTTGCCAGTCTCTTATCACTGGTAGGAAGGTTTTCTGGTAAGTGTGTGTGTGTTTCTGGAGCACAGGAAAAACCTAGGGCAGAGGAGCAAAAGAGAGTGTGTTTCCATGCACACACACACACACACACACACACACACACACTAGAGCACGCATTGTTTCCCCCCACCCCCATCCTATGAGAAAGCATGACTGGCGGGATGGCACACACAGGCAGGGGACATGTGGAGCTTGTCTGCCAGGTCTTGGAACAGAACAGCAGTAGCTGTTAGTCCTAAGACCCTGGACCGGCTCTCTGGTGAAGCGAGCGAAGGCGCAGAAAGCTAACCCGACCGAGTTGCCAACCCAGGACTAAAGACTGACTGCTCTCCAGTGACTACTGCTTTATTGGTCTTTATGGTCTTAAGGCAGCAGTCTGTTGAACAAGCCTTCCCCTGCTAGGAAGGAGCAGAGAATTATGTAACTCATTTAGATAAGCTAGCAGTAACTTTGGGAGGCTGTATGTAACAAGGCTGACATTTCTTCTCCAACACGAGTGAGGAGAACAGCCAATCCTGAGTATTTGAAAAAAAAAATTATCTGCGGCAGGTTATGATCAGGGAGCTGTAATTTCAAGTAGTAACAGCACTGCGAAGAGAAAGCAGTGAAAGGCCAGCATTCCAATTGGAAAGAAAGAAGAGGAAATTTCCCTCTGCAAGGGGGCTAATTTGCCAGCTGGTGATGTATGTAATGTCTCTGTTTTGTCTCTACATGCACATGGCAGCTATACTGAGATTTAACAGTCGTTAATTTTTGTAGTTTCTATAGCTGCATAGCTTATTTTACACATTATATTAGAATAGTAAATATGAAATTATTTTCTTTTGCAAAGATAAATTCTTAGCATCATTATTTTGTGACAGTTATTCTTTCTTGAAATTATTCTACGGTAAACTGAAAATACACATTTCATTTAATGCAGAATTGGTTTACACACTGAAGTAACTACCAAATGTGCACTTAGTATAACAGGTTTGAAAACACTTTAAAAAAATAAAGTTTTCATTTTCTCTATAGCTAAGTTAACTTCTGCCTAGTAAGAAAAAGCCTTCCTCACTGGGCATGCCTATTAAATACAATTTCAAAGGCATCAGACTAGAGCTTCAGTATGTTTACCTGAACTCATCTGTAAGAAAGCTATATTTGTAGCCTGTACTTGCAATAATTTAATGTCTTCATGAATTCTTATATGTATTCATATTTGCCAAAATCAGCAAATGGATAGAATATTTCTATATTTCTTTCTCTCCGTGGCGTTGATCTTGGTCTCTGCCTGCCCCCATTATTTCTCACTAAAATTAGTGCACTACCTTCCTAATGAATCTCACCACTTCTTCTCTTTCCTTAAATGTGTTGAAAACAGCAGCTAGAATAGTAATTTTAAAACAACAGTCATGTAACTTCACACCTTTCCCAGAGACTCTCCAGAGGTTCCCCAGCTCTCTCAGGATTAAAAGCAAAGATTGTTTAAAGAAGAAAAAAAAATGCCTACACAGTCTGTACCCTGTCTCTTTAGACTTCCCAGTTAATTTCCTAAGGGTCTCTCCCTTATTTATCTACTTCTCATTATTATTTAGTGCACCAGTTACACTGAAGCCTTAAGGATTTTTGTTCTTTCCATATGGGATGCAAACCCTGAGATACTTGTGTGGCTTCCCTACTCACCACTCCTCTTAGGCCTTAACTTACATTCCTTCTTCTTAGATAGTCAGAGGCCATCTTTTACAGTCAAGCAATAAATTATTTTCCTGAAAATCCCAGAATCCCAGCTCCTCTTTTTTATTCTCTCTCTTTTTTTTTTTTTTTTTTTTTTTTTTTTTTTTGTCTCACTCTGTCACCCAGGCTGGAGTGCTATGGCCTCATCTTGGCTCACTGAAACCTCTGCCTCCCAGATTCAAGCTATTCTCCTGCCACAGCCTCCCGAGTAGCTGGGACTACAGGTGCACTCCACCCCACCTGGTTAATTTTTGTATTTTTAGTAGAGACAAGGTTTTACCATGTTGGCCTGGCTGGTCTTGAACTCTTGACTTCAGGTTATCTGCCTCAACCTCCCTAAATGCTGGGATTATAGACGTGAGCCACCTCGCCTGGCCCCTGATTCCCTCGTTTTTGCTTTGTTTTTCTTTATAACACTATTATCATCTAGCATGCCATATCTTTCACTAAACTTTTTCTTGTCTTTCTCTGCCCATAAGACTAGAAACTCAGTGAAAAGGTCACATTCTCTCCAGTAAAATCATGCCTAACACAAAACAAATGTTTAATTAACATTTGTTGAATAAATAAATTTTCTTTCAGAAACAATTTTTTTACACACAGTGTGACATATTCCCATATATACATGACCTAGAATGGCTGTTTTAATTAACATACATTTTGCATGTCCAAGGACTGTGATGAAATTGAGCTATTGATGTTAGGATTAATGTACCCAAGAACCTACTACTCCTACCATGAATGTTATATCAGTCAACACAGCTTTATTCTAAATCTAATACTTGCAAGTTACTATGAAGTATGCACAATGCCTACCTCAAAGATGTTATATTAAAAATGAGAGGAACCAATTAAGGATTCTAGGTACTAAATGGTGCTTTGAACGATGGGTAGAGTTTGGATTGGTGGTGGGAGAAAGAGAACACTCAGCGAGAAGAATGGCAGAGGTGGAAATGCGGAGCTATATTTGGTAGACTGTGAGCAGACTTGCCTGCCTAGAGCAGGGAATTCACATTGGGATTATTAAAGTGTAGAAGAGAGGTATAATGCAGAGGTCTTAATGTATCAGGCTGGGGAATGTACTTAATGTTCCATCCCTCATGCCTCATACCAGGGTCCTCATTCACCTGTTGGCACTTGGTGACATGGATAAAAGGGAATGTGCCTTCTCCTCTTCTGCTAGTTTTACTTTAAATAATGAAGGGAAACTTATAATCAACAAGTAATGTTAAGTATCTCTATAGTAACTTAAATAGGAAATATGATGTTAAATTTTCTTGAATTCTTAAAATAAGAGATTTCCAAATAATTTGAAGTTATTATTGCTTCTTTAAGATTGTTCTTAAACTCTCACATTCACTAATCGTTCTCTCTGCCTTTGGAATTCTTGAGAGAAAAAGTGTGGTTATCGCATAAATATTGAGGAGTTGTTACAGGTTGATGCACAGAGGAAGAGAGAGCCAGGTTTCTAATAACATTCATATCTGAAGTCATTCTATTACCATTCTTTAATACTTTCATTCTGACTTCATTATAGCAAGCCTTACTTTATTTTTCTTAAGTTTTATAAGGCCAAATTATGGTTCAATAATTTTAAAAACCCTCATGTTCTAGAAAGCAAAAACATTAAAGGAAAGGTTCATTAGAGGTAATATGTAAAAGGCAAATGCATTTTTTGTTCATTAAATTTCTTATCTTTCTTTCAATGGAAGTAAGTCTGCACGATTTTCTTTATTGGTCTTATTTAAGAAAGAAAACAATGCAATTCAGTTTCTTAACACAGGCACGATGGCCTATTAATTAACATAAAAAATCCCATCTCACATATTTATGTAGTAATCTAGGGAAAATCAGACTTATTTTTAAAAAGGAGTTTTTAAAATAATTTAAAACTCCTTTAAACTCTCTACAAGTCTATGATTTGTGTTGTTAATAAGAGAAAAATACATCACAAAGTGCTGTGAAAAGTCAAAATTACAACAAAATTCTAGATCCTTGTGTTGGACCCACATATAATCTGGTGGGGAGGGAAGATATTTACATGAATAATACCTTAGAAATCCTTGAAACTTCTAACATAGTAATAAAATAATAGACTCTTAAAGTTTGAATCTCCTATACAATGGAAAAACTCTCTGAACTGGTCTTTCATATAGTGGTAATAAGCTTTTGTGTATGGAACACTTGTTAAATTTGCAGCATTTAATTCCATTTTATTGAACTTTTGTTCCACATAATGATGTGATTTAAAAAAATAATGTGCACCTCTTGGTCCTACTTTTAACTTGTACATATAATGAGATGTAACATCCTAAGCTCAATTCTCTGTGTTCTACATGCTACCCATTAAAATACGAGAAGACATCTGTACCATCCCTACCAAGTGTTTTCTGGATTAAACATTGTCTAGTCTCTCGATAGTCATTCATGGCAAAGTTTTTTGATGTTGCACTCTATTGATCATCTTTTGTTGAATATACTTCTACTGAATCTGGCTTAAAAAGCATTTCAGTGTGTGTATGGTGGAGCAATTGCTACAACTTGACCTTGACATGAATTCTTCCATTTGTATAGCATAAGGAAGAATTAGGTAATTTATTTTGTTTTGCTTTGTTTATTTTTCTTATGTTTTAATCTGTGCATTAAGTGGGTTTTATAAATTTATATTCTTGCACTTTTTAGGAATGTGCTGTTACTACTGTTTATGTAAGACTTGGGGCATAAGACATATATAGTTCTTACTGACTTATAGACCACTATGTTTTACTAAGACTTTTTCTGTATGCAAGTCCAGTTAAAAATGTTTACGGGATTTTTCTTTATTCTGTATGTTTGCACCATTTCTGCTATTTTAGAAAGATGTTTACAAGATTACATTTTGTTTATTTATTTCAGTGTGTTCACTTTAAAGAGTTCTATGAGTCAGAATTCATTCTGACTGCCCTCAATAAAATTAGTAATGCAATTGGTAATTTTCTCTTTACAGATTGTTCAGTTCAAGGGAATGAAGAATTCAGAATAATTTTGGTAAATGGATTCCAATATGGGGAATAAGAATAAGCTGAACAGTTGACCTGCTTTGAAGAAACATACTGTCCAATTGTCTAAGATAATCTATAAGAACCAAACCAATCAAAATGAATTCAACATTATTTTCCCAGGTTGAAAATCATTCAGTCCACTCTAATTTCTCAGAGAAGAATGCCCACCTTTTGGCTTTTGAAAATGGTGATTGTCATCTGCCCTTAGCCATGATATTTACCTTAGCTCTTGCTTATGGAGCTGTGATCATTCTTGGTGTCTCTGGAAACCTGGCCTTGATCATAATCGTCTTGAAACAAAAAGAGATGAGAAATGTTACCAACATCCTGATTGTGAACCTTTCCTTCTCAGACTTGCTTGTTGCCATCATGTGTCTCCCCTTTACATTTGTCTACACATTAATGGACCACTGGGTCTTTGGTGAAGCAATGTGTAAGTTGAATCCTTTCGTGCAATGTGTTTCAATCACTGTGTCCATTTTCTCTCTGGTTCTCATTGCTGTGGAACGACATCAGCTGATAATCAACCCTCGAGGGTGGAGACCAAATAATAGACATGCTTATGTAGGTATTGCTGTGATTTGGGTCCTTGCTGTGGCTTCTTCTCTGCCTTTCCTGATCTACCAAGTATTGACCGATGAGCCATTTCAAAATGTAACACTTGATGCATACAAAGACAAATACGTGTGCTTTGATCAATTTCCATCAGACTCTCATCGGTTGTCTTATACCACTCTCCTCTTGGTGCTGCAGTATTTTGGTCCACTTTGTTTTATATTTATTTGCTACTTCAAGGTAAGAAAACTTTTTTTCCCTATCATTTCCATTTTTACCTTCATTACACAGAATTCCTCATTAAATCAGTGATTCTATTTAAACTTATTTTTTTCCTCCCTAGATATATATACGCTTAAAAAGGAGAAACAACATGATGGACAAGATGAGAGACAATAAGTACAGGTCCAGTGAAACCAAAAGAATCAATATCATGCTGCTCTCCATTGTGGTAGCATTTGCAGTCTGCTGGCTACCTCTCACCATCTTTAACACTGTGTTTGATTGGAATCATCAGATCATTGCTACCTGCAACCACAATCTGTTATTCCTGCTCTGCCACCTCACGGCAATGATATCCACTTGTGTCAACCCCATATTTTATGGGTTCCTGAACAAAAATTTCCAGAGAGACTTGCAGTTCTTCTTTAACTTTTGTGATTTCCGGTCTCGGGATGATGATTATGAAACAATAGCCATGTCCACCATGCACACAGATGTTTCTAAGACTTCTCTGAAGCAAGCCAGCCCGGTGGCATTTAAAAAAATCAACAATGATGATAATGAAAAAATCTGAAACTGCTTATAGCCTGTGGTCCCAGATAACATCTGTTTAAAAACAAGCACAACCTGCAACATACTTTGATTACTCGTTCTCCCAAGAAATGGGGTTGAAATCATTTGAAAATGACCAAGATTTTGTGTCTTGCTTTTTACTGCTTTTGTTATAGTTGTCCTAATTACATTTGGAACAAAAGGTGTGGGCTTTGGAATCTTCTGGCAGTAGATTTGACCAGATATCTATGAAGTGCATTTTGTGAATTTAGGAATATAATGTAAAGACTTTTATACTGTATTTATTGGAATGAAATTTCTTTAAAGTATCTATATTAACTGACTTCAGAAGTACTTGCCATCCGGTACTGTCATTAGATTGGGTCACCTTGATTAGATTAGATTGTCAATAGATTGGGCCATCCTTATTTTATGATAGGCATCATTTTAGTGTGCTACAGTAGTAACAGAATGCAAAAGCAGCATTCAAGAGCCAAAAGAGAGTCTGAAGTCATTCAGAAGTGGTTTGAGGTTTCTTTTTGGTTTTTGGTGTGTGTATGTGTTTGTTTTTTTCATCTTAAGGGAGGATTTGATTTGCTCCTAAGTGATTGTCACTTAAATGAAAACTTAAAAATGAATAAAAGTACATGTTTCTCAGCCGCAAATATTACGGGGAATTTGGGCACCCACAGGAATGAAGAGACAGAGCAGCTCCCTAACTTCAAAACTATTTTGGTACTTGACAACAAGAACATTTCAGAGGAATTAATTTAATAATGTAAATTAGTAATGCTGCAAATGGTTAAATTATATTCATTTGAACTGATGGTCAAGAGATTTTCCATTCTTTACAGACTGTTCAGTGTTTGTCAAGCTTCCTGGCATAAATATGTAACTCAAAAGGCATTTCCGCTTACAATATATAGAAACAAAATGTGTTTTCCATACAGCAGTGCCTATATAGTGACTGATTTTTAACTTTCAATATCCATCTTTCAAAGCAGGTAACACCAAGGTACAACATTAAAAGAATATTCACCTCACCTAGCAGGGAAATACACAAGAACTAAGAGTACTTCATATAGCCCATTTTAACTTGTATAAACTGTGTGACTTGTGGTGTCTTATAAATAATGCACCGTAAAGATTACTGAATAGTTGTTTCATGTTAATGTGCCTAATTTCATGTATCTTGTAATCATGATTGAACCTGAGAATCACTTGGAGAAACTATATTTTAAAGAACAAGACATACTTCAATGTATTATACAGATAAAGTATTAAATGTGTTTGATTTTAGAAGGGCTTTATTAAAATCAATATTGTTTTTGCTTTTTCTGAGGAGTCTTTTTCAGTTTCATTTTTCCTCATCCCATGGTTTCCCTCCCATGATATTCCCAAAGCATCCTGTATCTGCTTGTTGCTGAAACATAACCCCTGATGTGATAGAACCATCGATGGCTGTGGTATAGTCATTGGTGATTGTAACTTAATGTAGTATAACCATTAATGGCTCAGTCTCCCTCTCTTGCTAGATTTTAAGCTTCTTTAAGGCAAGAATCATTTAACATGACTGTCCCCAGTGCATATAGCACAGTGCAAATACTTAGAAGCTTTTACAAAAGGTATTTCTAAAACAAATGAATAATTAATGACCATGTTTCCTTTTTTCTCATTCATAATCCTATGGAACGTATGTCCTGCAGTGCTCTCAGATCCTTCCTCCTAAGGTTAATTGTTACCAAGAAGATGTTTTCTCTCTTTTTTTTTTTTTTTTTTTTTTTTTTTTTTGAGACGGAGTTTCGCTCTTGTTACCCAGTCTGGAGTGCAATGGCGCGATCTCGGCTCACCGCAACCTCCGCCTCCTGGGTTCAGGCAATTCTCCTGCCTCAGCCTCCTGAGTAGCTGGGATTACAGGCACGCGCCACCATGCCCAGCTAATTTTTTGTATTTTTAGTAGAGACGGGGTTTCACCATGTTGATCAGGATGGTCTCGATCTTTTGACCTCGTGATCCACCCACCTCGGCCTCCCAAAGTGCTGGGATTACAAGCTTGAGCCACCGCGCCCGGCCTGTTTTCTCTTTTTTTACATTATTTTCTTTTCTAAACTAAACAAAAGGACATTTTAGATTTTAGAAATTTGCGTTATCAGTCCTATAACTCAAACAAATATCACACTTTTTACATTGAATGATAATATGAAATCAAATTATAGCCTAAGAATATTTTTAGTTAACTGCCCCCCCCCCCCAAAAAAAAATCTAATTTGGCTGGGCACATTAGCTCATGTCTGTAATCTCAGCTTTTAGCACTTTGGGAGGCCGAGAGAGGCAGATCACTTGCGCTCAGGAGTTTGAGACCAGGCTGGCTAATGTGGGGAAACCCTGTCTTCATTAAAAATACAAAAATTAACCAGGTGGGGTGGTGCTCAGCCTCAGGAGGCTGAAGCAGGAGAATCTCTTGAACCCGGGAGGCAGAGGTGGTGGTGAACTGAGACAGTGCCACTGCATTCCTACCTGGGCAACAGAGTGAGATGCCATCTCAAAAAAAAAAAAATCTAAAATTATCTTCTAATATTTATTGGAAAATATCATAATTTTTCTTTACCCAAGCCTGAATTTTTGAATTGCTTGATTTTTTTTCTGCTTTTGGGAACAAATGGGAATTTCTTTCTTTCTCTGTCTAGGTAATATGGAAATAAATTGTTACTTCGAAACAGTCTTAATATATAAGTGCTTCTTTGCCAGTACATTCACTAAAAAGGCGATTTCTAGAAGTCTCATTCAGCTGTGTATGCTGCCAACTCCTTAACTTCACATAAATAATGAACCAAACATCAAATTCTTCTTTTGTCCAAAGATGTTGATGAGCTACTAGTAGAGTCTAGGGTCAGCAACAGATGCATTGGAATTCAAAAAGAAAAAAAAAATGGCCATATTAAACATGAACTATGGAATGAAACATTGGGTTTTCTTAAACCCAAGAACAAAAGTTAATTATTAAGTTAGTAGAAGAGTATAATTATATTGTGGCATGTATGAATTTTAAGTAAACTGATAATAGCTAAAAATTTTAAACTAGCCTGTACCAAGTACTGTGTCAAGTACTTAAGTACCTGTGAGGACTAATGTTATTGTCACTTCACATAAGAAGAGACTGAAACTCAAGTTGAAATACCGGAAGGAGGCACACATTGAATAATAGGTAGAGCAGGAATCAAACCCAGGTCTGTCCAGTGCTACTAAAGTAATAACTGAGCTATACTTATGACAGTTTGGAAAATAATTTTCTTCCCCTTTACAAGTTACAATCTTAGGGCATAACACTGCCATCCACCTTCTTTCCAATTTTAGTTGCAGAAAGAATGAAGTAAAGCAAAAGAGTTAGAAAATGGTCATTTTGATTAAATGTACCCATTATCTCCCTTGCTGAATTAAACAATTCTGCTTAAAAATAGTATTTCTTTATTCACATTAATTTTATTTCTGTGTTAACTTTATTCTTTTCTTTTATTTTACAAATTCTAAGAAAATATAAGTATATATTATAATGAAATTTGTTCCACAAATTCTCAAGGACATATAAGTACATGCCGTAATTTCAAATTTTGACAGACAAATAGAGACTTTGACAATTTAAGTATCTACACACAAGAATAGTAGTGAAAAGAGACAGTTAAAATTGGAGCTCCAAAAATGTCTGGCCTGTGTCGTTACTGTAATTCAGAGTTTGTGGGCACTGCTAGGTGTTTCATCACGGCCAGGGTTGCTTTCTTCAGCAATAAAGGATTGTGCAGGAATTAAGGTAGTTTCTCAATGAATCTTGAATTCTTTGATAGTCTCCATATTTGCTTTGCCTACTTATTCCCATGGTCCATCAAACAACATGTTGGACTTAAGTGTCTGAGCAGGTGAGAACAGCTGGTGAAAATGAGAACATGACTTATCAGGGTCAATTAATAAGATTTCTCAAATTGTGTTTTTTAAATGATGTGTTTATTAATATATTTTGTGTAAATGTGTGTGCACATATCACATATTATGTAGCTATGAATATATATATTTACATACAGATATATGTATATATGTCTTACATAATTTTACAGTGAGTTTATTCTTATTGCTATTCATTTCCTGATTTCTTATCAAAGCTATTACGTAGGTGGTACTTATCACAAACTACCCTATGAAGTAGTACTTTTGTTTTTCTCATCTCACAGATAAGAAAATTCAGGTATGAGAAGTCATATAATTTGCCCAGTGTCACTCAGCTAGTGAATGATAGAGCTAGGATTCAAATCCTGGCGGTTTGGTTCCTGAGTCTTCATATGGCAATAAGTTTTTAACCAGCACACATTAAAAATCTTCCCCACATGTCAGCCTCTACCTGAATGCCTCAACCTCTGCGCCTCTTGTCTTTCCAATACTGGATCCACATATGACCCCACCTGCGGTTCTGGTCTGTTCTAATCCTTAATAATTTCAGAAAGATAAAAGATATTTTTCAATGTCACTCACTGAGATCTAAGACAAATTTCTAATCATGGTGGTTTAGGCACAGTTGCAGAATTGAGATACAAATCTCTTCTATCCAAAAATTATCACTGCAAAGCTCTAGGTTATTATCTAGCTCTAGAAATTATCTAGAATTATCTAGCTTTCTAGAAAGCTCTAGAAATTATCACTTCTGTCTTTTTGGTTTACATAATCCTTATTTTTCTAGCCAATGCCTGAGTCATCGTCTGGGAGCATTTTCCCAGTAAACGGCTGGAGCTTTGAAACCTGATTAGTTTCTATCAATTTTCTTTCCTTTGGAGCCTAGAGTATTACTCTACATGGTCCTGTATTCTAGCCCACAGGCGAGAAAAACTGACATTTATGAATTGAGTTTTAGAACAAACATTGCTATCTGACTTCTAAATCTTGAATATTGTTTGGGAGATAACCAAAGAGGCTATCAGTTAAAATTGTTGACTAATAGTCAACACTATTTTATTGAAGTCAATAAAACATACTGAAGCAAAATAATTGATGAAATGACACTACAGCCCTGTCACCTAACAGTACTATATTGTGTTTTCTGACATAGCGCTTAAAAACCAAAACAAATATATTTTATTATAGGACTATTTTTGTCATAAATAGCATTTCTCAAGCATCTGTTTGTTTTGTCATCAGGAATGAAAATTGTGAAGGTTATTTGTATTTCTGGCTAATCTGTTCTATGATTTTATTATCGAGATACAATTGACATACTAAAAAGTGACACACATTCACTTTTTACAAGTACACAATTCAGTGGTTTTTAGAATATTCACAGAGTTGTTTAATCATTATCCTTATTGAATCCCAGAGCATTTTCTCTACTCCAAAAATAAATTCCAAGTTTTGGTTTCTGGTCTCATATGCAAGGGACTTGGAAGTTGTCACTTTGTCCTAACAAGTAAAAATCTCAACAAACTGAAAAATCAACAGCTCTTCTTAGATCTTTCATAAAAGTGAGGTCAGACGAAAAATCTGCTGCCCCCTAATTAGAGAGACAGACCAATATAAAAAAATCACAGTTCACCAGTGCAGGAACCCCTAAAAAGAAACCTCCATTGGAACCAACCAGTACTTGAGTAGGACACCTGGTTGGTTCCTACAATAGGACAAGTCTGAGCATTAAAAACTCTCAGCGGAACCAGTCATAGAGAGGCCCCCACACTTTTGTGAGTTTTACCCCTAGGAGTTCAACTAATTTCTCAATGCAATGGACAATGCAAGTGAATATTGGAGGAAAATTCCATGTGCTTCTGGTAAGGAGAGAAGAAACAAAACCAATGCTCTGAAATAGACAAAAACATTGTGGTCTTCCTGACAGTTCTGCTCTCAAGAGACTACTTTACTATAGTGTAAGCTGTTAGTTTTTATCAGCACTTAAGTGACCTTGGAGAAGAGAAATACTCAATTCCTGCTTCCTGTAGTCATCCTGTTCCACTTAGTGAGAGAGAAAACTCTCACTGTGAGTTTTCTGAAATTCCCAGTCAAAGGCTAACTGAAAGACTGAGGGCAAATCTTAGTTGCATAGAATGCTTTCCCATCCCCAATACCTTACCACCACATTACCAAAAACCTATTTGTAGCAAGTCTGTTCCCTAGCATATCCTATACAGCCATCAAGGAAAAAAATCATAAGGCATACTAAAATGCAAAAAACACAGTTTGAGGAGACAGCAAGGATGAGAACTATACTAAAATATGGTAGGGATATTGGAACTATCAGACCAGCCATTTGAAACAACTATAATACACCAAGAGCTCTGATGGATAAAGTAGCCAGCATGCAAGAACAGATGGACA